AATTCAATTATAACTAGCATTACCGTACGAGTAATTTTTTTAAAGCCTAAAGCCAACCCTGAATCCTTATCGCTATTCTCAATCAAACTGATGTAACAGAAAAACAGAGGACGTCCGGCTGTCGTAGACATGCGCTGTTAATCGGGTTCCCTCCCGCTGTTTTCAGCTATTTATAGCTGGTCCAAATTCCCACCAATGGCAAAATTTCATGAGAAGATTTGGACCCATACGGAAACCAGCCGAGATTTCCCGAACAAGTTCTGAACGGTTTCCGGGTAACGGAAATTGCCGAAAAGACCGCAAATTGTCGAAACTGTAGTCCCTACGTTATTGCTCGCTGGATATCAATGTTTAGACGTTAAGTTAAGCGCCGTGGGGAGGAATCGTTTGCGATCCATTGAAGCGACGTGGAAAAGAATAGATTTAGATCCATTGTTTAAGCGACTTGGGGAGGAGTAGAGTTCCATCCATTTAAGCGACGTGAATGATTTTTGATCCATTGTTTACATTACCCATTAATGCCCTTGCGGGGGTCCAGGGCCAAATATTTTAGGGGAAAGAAAAAATAGATCCACTGCCACATAAAAGTTGTAAAAGGCGACTAATTAGGACTGCTGAAATCGGATGCTTTGGGGCAAAGGGCGCAGATATCGCAGCCTAGCTGTAAACCAAAACACAACGTGAGAGCCATTCTTTCAAGGGCGAACGAAAAGAACGAAGTTTACCTACCCGTGACATTATCATTGAACATTTCGCCGCCGCTATCGCAGCCTTGCTGTGAACCACAAGAACAAGCGAAAGGCGCATATTTCGCAGCCTAGCTGTAAACCACAACACAACGTGCCAACCGCACTGTTAAGGGTTAAAAAATGACCTCTTAAGGCCCTGAATAGGATTTTTTTACGGTGAATAATTTGGGACCGGTTTTCGGAAGAGTGCCGTAAGAGTGCCTCTGTTTCGAACCATGGGGATTTTCTCTCAGTCTGCTAGAAGAGTATCTCTTTAGAACCTTATGGATCTTCTCTCACTCTGCTTGGAGAGTATCTCTATAGAACCATGGGGATTTTCTCTCGGTCTGTTAGAAGAGTATTTCTATAGAACCATGAGGCTTTTCTCTCATTCTGCTAGAAGAGTAACTCTTTAGAACCATAGGGATTTTCTCCCAGTCTGCTATAAGAGTATCTCTTTAGAACCATAGAGATTTTCTCTCAGTCTGCTATAAGAGTATTTCTTTAGAACCATAGGGATTTTATCTCACTCTGCTAGAAGAGTATCTCTTTAGAACCATAGGGATTTTCTCTCAGTCTGCTATAAGAGTATCTCTTTAGAACCATAGGGATTTTCTCTCACTCTGCTAGAGGAGTATCTCTTTAGAACCGTAGAGATTCTCTCTCAGTCTGCTACAAAAGTATCTCTTTAGAACCATAGGGATTTTCTCTCACTCTGCTATAAGAGGATCTCTTTAGAACCATAGGGATTTTCTCTGTCTGCTATAAGAGCATCTCTTTAGAACCATAGGGATTTTCTCTCAGTCTGCTAGAAGAGTATCTCTTTAGAACCATAGAGATCTTCTCTCACTCTGCTAGAAGAGTATCCCTTTTGAAGCATAGGGATCTTCTCTCACTCTGCTAGTAAAGTATCTCTTTATAACCATAGGGATTTTCTCTCACTCTGCTATAAGAGTATCCCTTTAGAACCATAGGGATCTTCTCTCACTCTGCTAGTAGAGTATCCCTTTAGAACCATAGTGATCTTCTCTCAGTCTACTATTAGAATATCTCTCTAGAACCATGGATATTTTTTTTGTCTAGAAGAAGAATATCTTATTAGAAGGAATCTTCTCTAAACCAACTCACTAAGAGTAATGAGAGGATATCTTTTAGGAACAATGGTAAGCTTTTCTATACACATAGGACAGAGTCTACTTGAGAGTATAAGTTCTTCACATCCTTCTTTTTGGATATGCTCTAAGTATGTTGTTAATTCACTTAATTTCCTCCCAAGTTAAATATTTATTTCCAGATGATAGTGTTATATTGCGCTATGAGGAGGCATGAGACTTACAGCCCATGGCGATGGCGAGTGTGACTAGCAAAACCCGCCCGTGTCAAGAAAAGAGAATATATATATATATTTATACACATTACTTCTAACCTTTATTTTCTCTGACTCCTGCATTTATATTCAGTTTTCTTGAGGTCCACAGGCCTTGATTTGTGTGTAATCAATCAGTCACAGTATTGAGGTGGTTAGCCAGCAGTGCTTGCATCCACATGCTGAAGAGTTAAGAGCAAACATTATATTTTAGACCACTAGCGTTGGAGTTGCACACAAGCTTACATTTGACTGTAAATTAAGTTTAGTGAAGCAAAGGACTCTGCCACACCTACAGGTGTTTTGAGAATATAGGGCTAAACCTGTATTTTATAGACCAATCAGCACTTGGTGGGTGATTTTATCAACATCATGCTGGTCATTTTTACTGCCCAAGACTTCACCTAGTACCCATTTCAGGATGACAGTTGACAGCATACATTTCATTATGTCTACTTATGCACTTAGCAAACTTGTTGAAGAGTTCAGAAGGGGTGCCCATTCTATGATTTGCCATTGTTATGCTTTTATAAGGAATATTTGTATATCCATTTACAAGCCTGTATGAGTGTATCTGGAGACAGATTCTCACTTTTACTGAGACAAAGACAATGATGTCTTATTAATTCAAGGTTAAAAAAAATATTCCAGTCTTTTACAGGAAGGTCAGTTTTTCTCAACTCTTTCAGGACCACATTTTTTCTAGGGTTTGGACAACATTCATTTTTAGCAAAATTTCTTTACTGCAACATGACAAAGCTTAAACCTTTCTGAAGAAAAATTATTCGTTCTGTAAGAACATATAATATATAAAATTAAGGATAAATGGGCTATCCTCCGAATAACAATCCTGAATTATCGAGGCCGAAAATATTTCCTAACAGGGCCTCAGTCACATGTCAGTTGCGGACTTCCGGGGACTATATCGCCACTGCCGAATTGCGGACTTCCAGGGACTATACCGTCACCACGGAGAGTATCTCCCACGCCGCTACGTGCTGTGTGGATTGGGGCTCAACTAGATGGCTGGTACTCACGAGCATTTAAAATGAAGGAAGCTGCAGGAGATGTGGTAGCTGCTGCTTATGAATCCCAGCCATCGCAACAACCGAAATCAGGAAAACAGCTGATCGAAACAGATGATCCAGATGAAATATTTTGTTGAGTCTTCATCCTAAACTTATTTATCAACACAGGTTTGGCACTTGGCATGTCATATCAGTCAAGACTATTGTGACTGTCTGGCTGAGATTTGACAACGACAGAGCAGTATGAACAGTTCTAGACCCTTTCCTTTGTCATTTGATGTAGACAAATCATGCAAAAATGATATGGCATCTATATAATTTTTTTGATCAGAGATTGATGTAAACACTATGCCGACTTCAGAATACAAAAGGACTTCCTGTTGCTAATCCTAGTTTTTCAAAACATTTCATAAAAATTTGGTTTTCCCCGCAAACGGAACAAAATTATAATGTCTCTGTGAAGCGCACAGTATACTGGTCAATAGTCTGATCAGGATAAATTCAAACGCCAGTTAACTGGCAATTAGTCCACAAAGAGTTAAGCAGAATAAGTTTGGCAACAAGATGCAGTCTTACTGTTCAGTAAATCCTTTAAGGTAGATAAGGCACAGCTCAAACATAATGTGATTTTTCAAATACTTGGTTTAAACGGTTTATTTACAGAAGAGGTTTACACCCACCTCATCGTATCAAGTCTATATCTATGGCTAGCTTCACTCCAGAAGAAATTGATTTTCTTAAATCACATGGAAATGAGGTAAAATTTCCTATAATTTACCTCTTTAGTTTCATATCTAAGTTTTTTAATTTTCATTGAAATGTTCAATTGTTTAACTCTTCAAGGTGCTGTTTTACATTTGATTTAATTCATCCCTTATGCTTATCATGGAACTTCCTACTTTGATGAGTGATTGATACCTTCTGCATAATATGTTCATAAAAGATATATTTGTGAAAAGACATTTCATTTTGGCATCATTCTCTTTTAAAGTTTTTCTTTTTGTTGTTGTTGACATATGCAAGACATTTCTTTAAATGAAAGGACAAACTACAGCTTTTTATTTGGACTCGGTAAGTTTAACTCAACTATATATTTATGGTCACAATGAGAGAGCAAATGAGAGAGTCCATAAACTGACGTCGCAGCTACTCTCATCCACATTAAGCAGCCTCCTTCTTGTTGATTATCAGGCACTGTTAAATGACACAGACAGCTTACTCTAGTGGTCTGAAACAACTACCAGCTCAGTCTGGCCGCCTAGACCAGCCACAGCTAACCAGCAGTTTCAGAAGAAAACAATAGGCTACCAAGAGTAAACATTTCAACAGCAGTGTGATTGTAACATTAGGATTAAGGTATAGAAACAACAACATACCAAAATGTATAGATATTTTTTAAATTATTTTTTAAAAATATTTTGTCTGCAAGTATGTCCTGTTGGACTAATAGAGGATAACAATAACTGTTAACAGTTGGGGGACCTGGTCATAGATATCAATCCACTTGTCCTTTGAAGGATTATTTTATCTGTTTGTATTGTCACTTCTGCTATTTGATTAGTTGTTATCATTGATAAGTATCTACAGGATTTAGCTTTTAAATTAATTTCCCCCCTCCCTCATTCTCTTTTTAACTCCTTCTTTTCCCTTCCGACACTGCCTCTCTCACTTCCAGCATCTTTCTCTTCTGCTGTCTGTGTGTCTGTCTGTCCCTCTCTGTCTATGTTTATCTGTCTGAAGACATATATAAATCTCTAGACATACATGTGCATTCTTTTAATAACCCAACATATAAACTGTGTTGTATCTGCTAACTTACAGATTTTGAGAACCAGCTAGACTGCTCATTTCTCACTACATTATGTTTTTTTTTTTCAGCTGAACAGAAAAGTATACCTAGGCTTGCATGACAGTGCTTCATATCCAGAGCCAGATTCCAGGGATGAGCAGCGTGTCCGGGAGTATATGATACAGAAATATGAACACAAGCGTTGGTATGTGGCTCCGACAGACACAATGAAGGAAGCAGCTAAGTTGGCCAATGAAGCAGCGCTTAATAATAAACCACAGGTGAAGCCTTTCCGCTCACAGCTTGGTGAGAATGCTGCCAAGTTCACATCTACAACTGCTCAGGTTAGGATAAGTTCACAATTAAACTGTTCTTCTGTATTCTTGCACTTGTTAAACGGCATGTTGTAAACAGTTTCAGAAATTTCTGCAGAAATGGAAGTTAGTGGGTGTATGACAGCTTTTGATCAGAACTCTTTGGCTAATGCTGTAAATCACTTAATACCAATCCCAAGTAATGTTTTGCTCTAGGAGTAACATCTGATACACTCATGAGTAGACAGAAGTGGCTAACGAATCTCTAGAATGTTGAACTTATGCCAGTTGAGGAAAAGATGGTTGACAGAAAAAAAAAAAACCGTTTATTGGGAGCTCTCCACATGTGTGTGACTGTTGATATATATGTGGTGTGACAACTGTCTTGAACTTCAGCAGACTTACTCCTTTCATTCAGTGGCCTTCCATTTATTGCAGTATTTGGTACAAGCTACTTCGGCATAAAATCAGCACAGAGCATTAAGCTTTTCCGCGAACTGTGGCAATCATGTAATGTAATTAGAAAACCTTTACCTCCAGTCCAAAGCACAGAGCACTAAGCTGTCGCGCCAAATGCGTCAATCATGAAATGTAATTAGAAAACCTTTGCCTCCAATCCATAGCACAGAGCGCTAAGCTGTCCTGCTAACTGCGGCAAACATGTAATGTAATTAAAAAACCTTTACCTCCAATCTGAAGCACAGAGCACTAAGCTGTCCCACTAACTGCGGCAATCATGTAATGTAATTAAAAAACCTTTACCTCCAATCCGAAGCACAGAGCACTAAGCTGTCCCACTAACTGCGGCAATCATGTAATGTAATTAGAAAACCTTTTACCTCTAGTCCGAAGCACAGGGCACTAAGCTGTCCCACCAACTGCGTTAATCATGTAATGTAATTAAAAAACCTTTACCTCCAATCCCGAAGCACAGAGCACTAAGCTGTCCCACTAACTGCGGCAATCATGTAATGTAATTAGAAAACCTTTTACCTCTAGTCCGAAGCACAGGGCACTAAGCTGTCCCACCAACTGCGTTAATCATGTAATGTAATTAAAAAACCTTTACCTCCAATCCGAAGCACAGAGCACTAAGCTGTCCCACTAACTGCGGCAATCATGTAATGTAATTAGAAAACCTTTTACCTCTAGTCCGAAGCACAGAGCACTAAGCTGTCCCACTAACTGTGGCAATCATGTAATGTAATTAGAAAACCTTTTACCTCTAGTCCGAAGCACAGAGCACTAAGCTGTCCCACTAACTGTGGCAATCATGTAATGTAATTAGAAAACCTTTTACCTCTAGTCCGAAGCACAGAGCACTAAGCTGTCCCACTAACTGTGGCAATCATGTAATGTAATTAGAAAACTTTTACCTCTAGTCCGAAGCACAGGGCACTAAGCTGTCCCACTAACTGCGGCAATCATGTAATGTAATTAGGAAAACCTTTACCTCTAGTCCGAAGCACAGAGCACTAAGCTGGTCCACTAACTGTGGCAATCATGTAATGTAATTAGAAAACCTTTTACCTCTAGTCCGAAGCACAGGGCACTAAGCTGTCCCACTAACTGTGGCAATCATGTAATGTAATTAGAAAACCTTTTACCTCTAGTCCGAAGCACAGAGCACTAAGCTGTCCCACTAACTGTGGCAATCATGTAATGTAATTAGAAAACCTTTTACCTCTAGTCCGAAGCACAGAGCACTAAGCTGTCCCACTAACTGTGGCAATCATGTAATGTAATTAGAAAACCTTTTACCTCTAGTCCGAAGCACAGGGCACTAAGCTGTCCCACTAACTGCGGCAATCATGTAATGTAATTAGAAAACCTTTTACCTCCAATCTGAAGCACAGAGCACTAAGCTCACCCGCCAACTCTGGCAGTCAAGTATGTATCCATATAAGCTTGTGCCTTCAGACTTCTAGTTTCACATGTCATACAACTGTCTCTCTTCACTGTCATAGATAAGCGACGTCATGTCTACCTTCATATACTAGTGCAGAATATTACACAAAAATTTACTAGAAAGATCAATGCAAGGATGGAAGAGACGCAGACGAACACAACTGAAGGTTTCGACCAAAGTCTTTGTCAACACAATACTAAATACAGCACAAACTATGACTGTAAAAACTCAACAGACAAGACAAAGAAGCTAATATATTGTTTTTAAAAAATGCGTAGTTATCTGATGGCACGTTTTTATTAGTTTGTAAATAAAATACCTTACTCGGGTATGTGAAAAGCGGACTCAAATGTTGTTTACCGTGTCCAGTGGACATGTGGGCATGAAGTGCATGGGTTCTTTTAATCATTACAACGCAGTGATCAGTTGTGTTTAAGACCATATTTGTGAGCATAGCTCATGATGAGCGCACGAGAAAGTAACACAATTTGCAGTGAACACTATTCATTGACTAGGCAATTGAAACACTATAAAAGGATAACGCTACACCAAAAGATCCGTTCATTTTCAAGTAGTTACGAATGGCGGCTCTATCAATAAATTTAAGGAATTTTGCCATTGGCTGATTGCAGGCAGGAGGAAGTTAAAGTCAGGCTGCCAGGCATCTAAACATGCATCAGAGAATCATCAATCGACTTTGGCTCCGGTTCCAAGCTTCTGGTTTAGCGGAAGACTGACATCGCAGTAGAAGACCCAGAGTGACAACAGCAGTGGAGAATCGCTTAATTCGGCTTCGTCAGCTCAGAGACAGGTTTACAACAGCTTCCTAAACTGCACAGGCATAGCCTCCAGGACGCCATGTGTCTGATCAAACTGTTCGAAACAGACTGCATGATGTTAAACTTCTTGCTCGACGACCACACCAAGGACCTGTTCTTACGCATCACCACCGTCAAAATCGACTTCTTTGGGCAACCAACACGGTCCTTGACAAGTGACAGTCAGACTTGTCTGGTTTAGTGATGAATCTTTCTTTTTTTGCAGAGTCATGATAGACGGCCTAGTGTCCACAGTAGACGAAATGAAGTTTTAACCCAAAATTGTGTTGATGAAGCTCTGCTGCACAGTGGTGGAGGTGTAATTGTGTGGGAAATGATAAGTTACAACAGAAGGAGTCAGTTGGTGCACATTGAAGGAAGCTTGAATGCGCAACAATACGTCCATGAAATTCTTTGACCACATGTCCTTCCATGTTGGGATGCCAACAGATATCATTTTCAACAGATCAGCGTCAGACCCTATTCTGCACAGCTGACCACACAGTTCCTGGCTGCCAATAAGATTCAAACCCTTTCCTGGCCATCCCTGTCTGCAGACATGAGTCCGATTGAGCACCTGTGAGATGAGCTGCAAAAACGTATTTGTCACCGAAACATTGCTCCAGCCAATGGTCGTGATCTGTTTCAGGCGCTTCAGGAAGAGTGAGCAGCCATCCCACAGGCCCACATCAGACATCTGATGGCATCCATGCTCAGGTGATGCCAGTCACTTATCCACGCAAAAGGAGGCCACACACCATACTAACGGGAAAGGCCTGTGGAATAGTCTTCATTTTGAAATTTAGCCAGGCTGCAAAGTTTCTTGCTGTATTTCTAAGAGTTCAATACTTTTATGTTACCAGCTGTTTAATTCTTCTTCTGCTATTGTTCTCTGAAGCTCTAGTATAGCTTTTTCTCATATTTTGTGATTCTCATGTAAAGGCTGAGACTGCATCCTGTCTAGCTTTGTTCACACCATCCTAGCACTGTTGTACCGATGGAGTGCAATGATACTAGACTCCTTTGAGGATGATCTCTTTCACAGCCAGTAGTATTCATATATTGAAGTTTTCTTACACCTGATTCCTCAAATTGAATGCAGGTTTCTTGTTCTGTATTTTTAATTAGCTAATGGAACACTAAAAAGGTATGGTAAATATAATCCTGAGTGCCTTTACTTCTTATAACATTTCATGATGCCTATTTATAGGTTTAGCGGACTTCAGAGCACAGTCAGTTTAAAAAAAAAAAAGATTCACCTCAGTAGGGGTTATAACCGATGACTACTGGGTTGTAGAAAATGACCACATTGTAGCATTGCTACAACTCTTATTGAATTCTTCCAACACTTCATTATTATCTTTGTTCTGCAACTTGAGATTACATGTCACTGGATGTCTGTTGGCTTTTTGCAGAATTTGATTATAAGATGGTCGGGCTTGTATTGAAAATAACACTGGATAGTGAGTAAATTTGGGTTGTGGTTCCTTCTTTCAATTTGAGCTCCTGCTTTTTATTTTTGGAGAGGTTAAATATCTGGAGTTGAAGATGATATGACTAGCTCATGTTCAAATCACCAGAGCAGTTAGATTGTCTATTTCTCTGACTGTATTTTATCAAACAAATGTGCCATCCAGGTTATGCTAGGATACAGGGAAATGAACTAATGATGGCTGCTAGTTAAAGACACAAAAACAACAAATATTAGGTAAGAATTATTAAGCGTATATTTAAGTGTGGTTACACCAAGGAGAGATGAATCTGATGTGTTTTTTGTCAGAATTAGGAGCATCTGCACCTAACTGTACTTACTGGGCGATATGGCACATCTATGGGTTTGTTTGGAGTGCTTTGAATTGATTTATCAAAAACCCTTAGTATTGTTTTCTTCCGTAAAAAACAACAGTCTGAAACAAGTCCTCAGAGACTGGAGAATGACCTCCAACCACCATGCTGGAAGGTATTTATGATTTCCACCACATCTACTGGATACTCACACTACATAGTATAGAACTGTTAATGGCATGTTGGACTTATTATGTTCTCTTTTTGCAAGACAGAAGAATATGTTACGTATGTTTCCTCTAATTATACTTAGACCTGAGTTTTGGGTATATTGGGGTTTTTAACAGCAGAAAGATATTCATAATTTTTTTATTATCTACTCCTCAGTCGGTACCAGCTATTCATGCTCCAGTACAAGTGTCAGTACCCCTTCCTGGAGGTTTTAAACCTCCGTCACAGATTCAGGCACCAGCCACCACGACAGCCAGCAAGGCATCATCTGGGTTTGACCTCTTTGGAGACTTTGGTAGTGATCCTTTTGCATCCAGTTCCACTGGTAGCAACCCTAATGAAAATGGTACATATGTGTGACTGACAAGTACTTGAGATTGTTGGGTTTGGAAGAGAATGTGTAATGCGTGTGCAAATCAGATTATCCTATTGTTTTTCAGTCAGCATGCTTTTTTTTTTTAAATATAATTACAAAGAAGAAAACAAATGCTGAGATATTCAATATACAAAAAACAATGTATGCAACATATCAACAGAAGTAATAGACTGCAGAAGTTCATGTTATGTTGAAATTGCTGGACAAGACAGGTAGAGCAAACCAGAGAAAGTTGTATGGGAAAGCCAGAACAGATGGGCAACAGTTAATGATTTAACCAGCACCAACTTCATCAAAATTTGAGATAACACAAGTTGGAAACATCATCCTGTGTATACCAGGGGCTAATCTGGTACCTGTGTCCTCAAAGATGTGGCTTGTGGTCAACATTTGCCATTAAGTGAAGGAGGGCAGGATTTGAAGCTTTCATGCTTGAGCCAAATCTTGAGTCATCTCTGCTGTAGCTGTTTGAATTGCTAATGTCTTCAGTAGAACCTATACATTTGATTCCTATAATTCTCTAGACAGAGCTTCTAGAGTGTAGGAATAAACTGTTAGGTCCAGGAATTTCATTTATAAATATTCTTTTCTGAGGTAGCGCACTGAATATGGCTCTTTTCTGACAAAGCACTGGCCTGGGTTCAATCCCCAGCAGAAGTGAGATTATTCTTTTCTGGCCACTGGTAGCTTTGATCAATCCAGCCTTATCAAAACTGGCATCAGAGTTGTCTGCAAAGGTTAGACATTTGGAAGAGAACTGACCAACCCACCTCATAATTCATGGCCTGAAATTTGTGAGTGCTTAATATTTTACGCAAGTAGAATGGTACAGTTTTTACCTTTTACATTTGTGTTTTTTACTTGCAGTTGATGGATTTGCAGACTTCAGCAGCTTTGACAGCGTGAGTTCCAGTTCTACTCACCAGCCAGCAACAACACAAGAAGTTCTTCCATCTCCGGCATTTCCAATTGCCTTTAGTATGTGTAATCATTGCTTAAATTGTTGTGTCCATGTCACAGAATAAGTAAATTGAGTTGCTAAATTCCCTGCTTGGAAGTGTCCCTTTTCTTGCATGCATGTTCTCTCAGACAGGATGTATGTTTCATCATTATCATCATTAATTTCCACTTCTGACAGTAAACATTGGGTGGAAGAATAGTTTGTGATCCATCTGTGGGCAGCATTAGCTATTGTCATTCCGTGTTGATGTAGAAGCTCTTTAAAGTCATCAATCAATCTTCTCATAGGGCTGCCTTTAGCTTTCACTTCAGATCTTTTCATGCGTAGCTGCTGCGTTGGTAGTTGTTCTGGCTGCATTCTTACTAAATGGCCAGACCAGTTGACCTTCTGTTTCTCAGTGAATTTGCTTCATGGTTTTTTTCCTACAGTCTTGTCTTATAATATCGTTTTCAACTTTTTCTCGGATGGTTAAGTTGGTGGCTTTTCTCAAGCATCTCATTTCACAAGTGGTAATTTTATCTAGATTAGCCTTTGGTAATGTCCAAATCTGGCACTTGGAGCACAATGTTGGTATGAATATGCAGTTCATAATCCGTTTCTGTTCTAGTTGATTTTCTAATATATGTTTTTGTTGTAAAAATTTTCCGAATCTAGTTTTTGCTTGCGGACTTGTCTAGTCAAAATTTATTTTATCTTTTGCATTTTTATTGGCCTTTAAAATCTCTTTCTCACTCTCCGACTGGCCTTTGTCAGAAAGTAATTTTATTGAATTTATCAGAAACAAACCTGTTTTTGACTTTAACCTACACTTAGTGAATTTGACATACATGTTCTGACAGCCACATCTAAAGTAAGATGGAACATTCAGTAGAACAATATATGAAGTCAATATATGAAGAGTAGAATTCTGAATTCCTTTCTCTGTAGTGAAAATGATAATTAAAAAAGGACCCCTTTCCACATCCTTAGACATATTGGGTGTATAATGTTAGATCTGTATCTTTTTGACCAATCGGCACTTAGTGAGTGTTATGGTTAACTGGAATATACCTGGTACGAGCTGGGTCGACTTGGGAGCCAGGGTTATTTAAAACAAAAGAAAGTCTGACAATGTGAATTTGAACCCAGACATTTGGGTCTGCTGGTGTGTGTCTAACTCCACAGATGCAGATACCTCCAGCAATGTTTGAAAACTACCAAGATAAGACAAAGTTCCCTATCAAATCAACAGGAACTCCTGAAAGACAATTGGAACTAAAATTAGAGACCACCAGGAAAATCCACCATAGCAGGAGTAATACCAACACCACAAGACACCAACAACAAGCAGAAAATAAAACAAAGAAGCAACAAAAGTATCAACACCGATGACAAAACATCTGAATCAACAGGTTCTCAAGGGATATTCAATCATGAGATACAAGGACTGAAGTTACAGTAGAGACAAGATGAAAATGAGTGAATGCACAATATATACACATATGAGGAAAGACTGGATAAATAACTTTGGCTTGAGCTATTTGTCGAAAGTGAACAGCAGTAAAATATATATATATATATATATTTTGGAGGAAGAAAGATATATGACCACAAAAATTAAGAAACCTGGCAAAAACAACAAGGAAAATAGATGACACTAGAGGCAGGAGAATAAATGACAGATGGCAGGACACAACCAGCCCAAGTTGAGGCTTTTTCAGGACTCCCATGAAACATCTCCTGACAGCCTTCACAGCCTAAGACCCCTACAGATAATATTGACATAAAATGCAAATCTGAAGGCACGACATAACTGCCTCAAAGTAACAAAGAAGTCAAGAAAGATGCAGAGAAACCAAAGCTGCTTGCATCAGGTTGAACACTGACTGAGAAACACAAATATCAGTGAATCTTTGGAATATTTTTCTTGATGAAAATAAATTAGTTGCTACTTGTGAAGAATATGTTGAGAAAAGAAAATATAAAAGCAGTAGTAAATGATAGTCAAGTTAGTAATATGTATATTATTTTTTTTTTTCACATCACTTACTTACTGTTTCAGTCTTGTAAATATGCAATATTTGTCAACATTAAAAGCAAAGTCAGTAACTTTTAAGTTAAAATTAGATAGATTAACAGTACAGTCTCAAATCAGATGAAATAGATAGGACTGATAGCAAAAGTAAAGTCAGGAGTGTACAGTATTTCTATTTAACAGACTTCAACAAACTCTCAATTATAAAGCTGACACTTGTAGATGGTGGATTAAAAACTATGAAAAGCAAATAATGAAGTGGCATTGGATAAAATGAAGGAAACTTTACAAATGAAAGAGCCAAAAATGATGGAGTATATATAAAATGATAATGACATTTTCTTGCCGCACACACACACACACACATACACACACACACACACACACACACGCACGCACACACAAAACAAGTGAAAAGTCACTTTTACCACCTTCAGCTCCACTTCAGCCTGCAACAAGAGGCCAAGCTTTAGCTGCGACAGCTCCCAACCAGCCCACAGCCCAAGCAGTTGCATCATGGGGAGACAAGTATGCTGCTTTAGCAGACCTGAACAGTGCATTCTCTGCTCCTGTCACCACGGCAACAGCCATCAGCTGGGGAGGGTCTGATGGAGGAGCTATCAACTGGGGAGGTTCAAGCAGTTCTGGAGGTTAGTTAGAGAAATTGTCAGTTTCTAGTACTTTTAGATCATCACATATGTTGGTTAATTCTCAAGTCTATGTACGTGTTCATGTTTGATGTCATTGCACATTATTACAAATGTTTTAATTTTTTATTTCTGCTTATCACATGATCATATATGTTGTTGATTTTAGTGTTCTCATTCATGATTAAATCTTTTGTTGATTTTGATGTGATCAGACATGGTGTGATCTGCTGGAGTTTGATGTAATCAGACATGATAACATCTATCTTACTTGTAATTTATAAAGCATTTTAAAACTCTTTTTGAATCTAAGTCATCGCTTGATGTTTTCTCTTACTTTTTTATATTTGGTCACAGCTTACTAGAAAAATCTGGCTTCTACAGTCTCTGCCTCTGTTGTTTATCATTTGATAATCATTCATCAATGATGGACTATGACTGCTCACTATCTCAAAGAGTCAGCTTGTTAAACTTGAGTGCAGCTGTGCCGGTGATTCTTGGCTCTACTAAAGACACTCCTGTAGTGTGTATGTGATACATTCTTCATTTGCCGACTGTTGCTGGTAGGCTGAAGAGCTGTGAGATAAACTCATACCTCAGAGTAGTTGCAGACGCAGGTCACCCTTTGCACGAAGCACTGAATGCAGTTAAATGTCAACGGCTGATAAGATTGAAGTCATGGATGGCTTAGGCAGAGAACATGAGCAGACAGATTTGCATTCTGGAGAAGGTGAGGAGAGTAGTGGGTGAGAGTGATAGCGGAACAGTCAGACTTGTTTTGAGTCATAATCACATAATCAGCTAGGAGTGCAGAGAGTGGCCAGCTTGTGCCACAGAGGTGGAAATTCAGCGATTATTTCAGAATAATACTTGCTTGCGCAATATCATTATTTACACAGACGGTTCAGTTCAAGAGGCAAAAGAAATGCCTGGGGGCTCTTAGCAAAAGCTCAAGGTAGACGTTTGGTGCAGGAGAGCCTGACATATGATGCTACAACATCAAGCTTAAGAATGGAGTTAGCAGTGGTCACTGTAACTTTCCGCTGGCTAGAGAATACAGTATACACACGCGCGCGCGCGCCAACACACACACACACACCATGATTGCAACTGACTGGAGCAGTGGCAAACTACTGGATGTAAATTTGCCTAGGAAAACCACAACAGCCAACAATTTCTGGGGTTGGTTTTGCAATTTCCTGTAAACGATAAGCAACTAACTATTATTCCAATAGCTCTTGTAATCTCCTAATTTCTTGCACAATCTCTTTTTATTTTGTTCTCAAACATCTAAATTCACAGATGGATTTCTCTTGTGTTCTTTATTAATTTCCACATCTGACACAAGCAGCCTAAATTTGGTATAAAGATTGTATTTATAATTTATCCTTTTTCTTCTCTTTTGGGATTGTCAGGTATTTCAAGATCAGGATGTTGATATGGGCCATTATTGGAGTGTTGAATTCTTGAGCATATTACTGAATTTAATAAAACATTGAGAAATCAGTACAAGATTGTATTCTCCTCAGTTGAAGCTTTATGAGTACAAGGGGAGGAGTATGTTAACTGACACAGTGATTTGTATTTACTTCTTCCAGGCACAACTTCTCAAGGTGGACTGAGCAGTGGCTGGGGTGTCAGTAGTGCTTCTAATGGTGGCATCAGTTGGAATGGGCAAGGCTCACTTGCTGCATCTGCTGCTCCTCACAGTGTGGTTGCAGCTCCTTCTAGTGGTGAGTAATTTTTTATAAAAGATATCAGTTAGTTACATTTTCTTTAAAGGACATTTTCAGACTTCACCAGTTTTGTTAGCTTTTGTAATTTTACTACACAGTTTTAATTTCAATAGTTTGCCAGATTTCCTGTTTAGAAATGGCGGCGTGAAGACGTGTTTGCGGCGACACGCAATATTGTTATTGAAATTGTCACTTAATCAGTGTTTTTCTATAACAAAGAGCTTTTGTTACCAAATCATTCATGATATATATTTTATTTTTTATGGAAACTAACTATTCTGTGGTTTAGGGGTGTTATGATGAAACTAATTCCGACAAACAACTATGGAAGCGGTCATGCCCTAATATCAATAATGTAACCATAGGAGCCACGCTCCCGTTATACAAATTGTAATCCACGAGTAACCCACAGTCTACCTTAGCAAAATAAGGTGCTAAAGTTGGAGGCAACCAGCCAGTAGGCACACCACAGCAATCAGGATGCCACGCACAAACTCAATAGGGAATATATGAATATCTGCAAACAAGTATGATTCTCACCACGTGATCGACTCACGTACACGTGAGACGTCTCACCAGTCTATGTCTAGTAGAAAAGGTCCAGCTATGAATACTGGAAGTCACCCACAAATGCCTCGTAGAACGAGAAGAGCAGGAAATACAGCTAGTCTAAAAGTAATGCACTGGAACACGTAGGGAGTAAGTACTAAGAAATTAGAACTAGAAAACACCATAAATGAAGTGCAGATTCACGTATGCTGCCTTCAAAAGACGTATCTCAAACAAGACATGTCCTTCAAGATCAGAGACTACCAAGTGTTTCCGATCTGACCACAAAAACATGAGAAAAGGGGGAATTCTTACAATAGTTAAAAATAACATCCTTGTGGGCAAAATTTAAAAATATATGGAAGGTGCTGAGTATCAAACTCTTAAGCTCAAGACAGAAAATAAAGATTTACAACTGGTCAACTATTACTGTCCGAGCAACCACCCTCAGGCACTGGATACAGTAATAGTAAATGAAAGAATGATCATTTGTGGGGATTTTTGCAGCCACTCCCAAAGTTAGGGCTACAATCACATGGATCAGAGAGCAGAGAAATTGGAGGACTGGCAGGATGAGAATAGAATTATCCTCAATAATAAGCCAACCGACCCACCAACCTTCTACTCAAGAGCATGGCATACCACCTCAAAAGTTGTACAGATGTACAGAAGTTTAGATTGTATCAAATAGAAACAAGTCATGTGTAGAGGTTCTGAAGAGATCAGGAATGAAATTAGAGTTGCGGAAGGAAACAGAAAAGAGACGAGTGGAATATTTTGACAGTATTGAATGATATAACACTGATGCAAACCACACTAAAGGGAAACATTTAAGGCAATCGAGCAAGAGGTGGTCAATAATGCAAATAGGATAGCATATAGAAGTGGATGAACAGCACTTTGATCAAATGTACAGCTAGATTTAGAGACAGAAGGTGTTGGAGGTCCATTGCAGCCAACCTTTATTGTGAAGATGTTTGATTTATAGTCAGGCAGTATGGTTGTTCCTTGCTTTCCAAGATAATTCTCACAGTTATGAAAATTGTCGCATTCCCACTTTTATGAGTGCATCAACTACTCATGCTTGACAATATATGGAAGTCAAAGGGATTTAGTTTGAAGACAAAACTCAGAATATACAAGAGCAACATTTTAGGAATAGTATTATACAACAGTGAATGTTGGAAAATGACAGCGGGAATTACACATAAACTTGAGACTTTTTAAAATAAATGTTCAAGGTGAATTCTACAAATATTTTGGCCAAACAAGATCACAAATGAAGAACTGAGGAGGAAAACAGAATGTGCATCACTGGCAAATGTTATCAAAGTAAGACGATGGAGATGGCTTGGAAATGTTTGCAGACTACCTTGTGACACTCTGGCAGAAACAGCTCTCCGGTGGGCAGCAGATGATAAAAGAAGTGGATGATCTAAGGAAACCTGGAGACAGACAATAGAACAGCAAATGAAGGAATGTAAACTAACATGGGATACGACAGGCAGAAAAGCAGCAGACCGGCAGTAATGGAGATCACTTGTGAAAGCCTTATGTGTCGACAGCGACATGAAGAGGCTATAGAATAAACATAGTTTTGTAAGATGTGAAAATGTGTATGTAAAATGATGAGAAGACCCTCTATACATTCACAAATAGATTTACAGATGTTTATTTTTTTTTTTTTTTAAATCTTAAGCAGTAGTTAAAAAAAAAAAAGACAGAAAGGATTTAGAAAAAAAATAAAAGGAAGCAGCAGGTCATGTTAGAAACAAGCTTTAAGGCTCATTTTCAATATTATAAAGACAGAGTAATTTTGATATCTTTACTGTTTATTTTTTTTTAATTCTGGTCTAATGAAAACTCTAATTAAAGCCTTGTTTTTTTTTTTTTTAGCTACAAACCCATTTGCTGGAGTCCCATTGTCAGGGCCACCTTCATATGCTGTTTCTGCTGCCACTGTTAATGCAAATCCCTTTGGGGGATCCACTTCAGCAAGTCAGTTTTCTCCAGCTGGCATGTCAGCAACCACTGGCTACGGTGGTCATTTAGGCATGCAAGGACAGCCAGCGGGGTTTGGACAGTTTTCAGCCTTGCCAAATGGAGGATATGGAATGGCCTCTCCAGCAGGAAACTATGCAGTCCAAGGATCTTTCATGATGCCTGCACAGCCTGGAAGTGTGCAGCAAATGGGCAGCTGGAGTCAGTTTGGGCCAGCACCAGTTTCACAGCCTGTGTCCAACCCTTTTATGGTGAGTCATTGTTCATCAGTAGATGAGGTAAAATAAAAATTCAGTAAATTATATTGAGATGGCAGTGCAAGAATTGTATTGAGATGGCAGTGCAAGAACATGTGCCCAAACAAGAAAAAGAATTTCAAAAGAATGTTTTCCCATTGTACATTTCAATAATAAGCAAACACACAGAAGAAAACACATTGTTAATCTAAGACTTGTTGATAAATATACATTGTAACATTGAACTATATAATTTGTGTATTTCAGTTCAAAGGATTCATTTTTGTTCATTTTGTATGCTGATATAAATTCTGTAGCATGCACCTGACAAGATACAGCTATATATTGTTTGTACCTTATTTATCTAAATGAAAAATAGTGGCACTGTGATTTTGGTCACAGACATGAGGGAAAGTTCAGGCAGTTGTGGTGTGTATAAGGAAATACTCTAACCTCACTGAGCACCAGCAGGCTCTGTGCTGGTTTAACGGATCCTCATGCAAGTCTCCTGCCATGCACCATATTTAATGGCTCATACTTGTCTAACAGAGTTGGCCAGCAGTCTCGGAGTTAGTGGCCCCCAGAAAGCCTCTAGTTTTTATCCGTTAGCTGAATATACTACTAAATGACAACCCTCAGTAAAAACATAACAAGGGAAAGAACGACTGAACTGCTGAGATTCAGCCCTAGACCAAGAGATTTACTTGCAACTTAGACGGGCAACATCTCCTGCGGGCGGTATAGACCTGTCTCCTTACATCCATTGCTGATCCTCAATATCTTCACCGTCTTGAGGTACATAATGACAGTCTGCCACTGTCAGTCAGCTGATTAGGCTCAAATGTCTGTCAGATAATGTCCTGTGACATAACAACATAATGTCTGACCACTAATTCCTCCTGGTTAGCTGAAAGGTACATATGTCCCCACCCATGGCCCTACTCACCGGAGTGTCTGGACCAAAACGGGGAACCCATGCCTGATGCATGCTTTCCATATTATCATGCTAAGATAAAACAACATCAAATGTGCTGAAGAAGAATTTTGTCTGGTCTTTTTAAGTCCTGCACCTGTGGGCTGCTCTCTGCCGACCTCTGGAAAGCGCAGCCCATGACAAGTGGGAAGCTCAACATACCAATGTGAGGTTAAGCAGTCATGTGCAGGATGTGATGATTCCTTGGGTGAGCCCAGGACCAGAGCATCATATGTTGACTCTTCATTTTTAGAAGCCTACTTGGATGGTGGGGAATACCCATTATCTGCCCCTGCCTTTCCTTGAAGACCAACCAGTCTACATGCGATGCTGCAGATAAATTCTCCAAAGGCAAAACCCGTAGATAAGGGGACAAAGAGAACACCACACACACACACACACACACAAAGGCTACATTGTGTCCCATGAAACTGTCTGGGAAGTTACCCCGGTCCACAAGTGCTCAGTGAAGTCGGACTTGTCAGTCGTACAGAGTCACAATACACTTTACGCAACTCGGGTGAAGTGAAAAGAGGAAGACAAAAAAATGAAAAATAAATCTGGAAATGAATTGTAATTTAGAAGACTTCACAGAGTATTGACAAGAATTATCACATAATTAATGAGAAAAAAATTAAGAGAAAAATTTTATGGAGAATGTTGAATGTTAAATTAAGAATTGACATCATAGCACTCGTGGCACTCCCATAAACACTCCATCCCCATCTTCAGCAGCAAGCGAAAAGTTTCATTTCTGATGGTACCAGTAACTAAGTTTTTAGCAAAAAATAAAGAATATCTTATGAAAGTATAATTGAATACAGACAGGTGAATCATGTTGAAGAAGATGCAGGTGCTGTAGAAAGTACAACACTTAATACAAACAAGATAGTCCAGATAGAATTCTTAATGTATGAGACATATAAGGAGGCCAGTAAACACATGAAGAAGGGAAAATATCGAACAGCCATCTGTTTGTGTTCGTGATGAATTCTACAAGTGAATGTCTTCCATGCCATTCCTTTTTGTTATTATCTGCTTATAACATTCTGTCTTTTCATTCTGGTTGTCAGAATTCTTTTGATTATCTCTTTTTATTATGATTGTCTAATCAGGATGATGATAATAAGCTACCTTTAAGAGCTTGCCTCCTACAGCGGAGTATTCAGTGATAACAGGAATGATGTTTGATGGCAAGTGGGTCAGCATCATTGCACCAGGTTGATCCTATATGGTTGTCTCTCTATAGAGCAGCTGGTCACACACCAAGCATAAACCCAGGATCCTCAAAATACTTTTAACGCCAGAACTAAATGAATGAAATTCAAAACCATAAACAACAGCTCCAGAGCATGAATTCCAGAATCTCTAAAACACCTTCACCCTCAGACTAAATGAGGAATTCCAGACCCGTACCATCTTTCCAGAGCATGTACTTCAGAATCTCTAAAACACCTTTCCCCTTAGACTAAATGAGGAATTCCACCGTACCATCTTTCCAGAGCATGTACTCCAGAATCTCTAAAACACCTTCCCCTTAGACTAAATGAGGAATTCCAGACCCGTACCATCTTTCCAGAGCATGTACTCCAGAATCTCTAAAACACAATTAACTCCAGAGTAAATGATGGAGTCCAAAACCATACCAACTGCTCCAGAGCATAAGACAAATGACTCCACCACTTCACCATGGAAACCCTTTTTTTAGTCACAAACTGATAGCATAGGATATTCTTCTCATCAAGTTGCAAATTAAGTCATGATTTCACAAACTACACAACTTCAAAGGGGGAGTTATAGATAAATACATGGAAGGCGCCAGGTGAGCACCAATCTAATCTGTGGTTCTGGTTGTTGTGTAAGATTGTGAAACATGACCACCTATCCTTATTAGCAGGGCAGATGTTGATGAGGTGGAAGGTACTAATCTCACAACTCTGAACAGCTGTCGAGAAGCTGACTGGTTTTTATATACTTTTTAAGTGAACAACCTGGAAGTATCATGTTTCCTATTTTTTTTAATATATTGTTTCTTTTCACAGAGCGCCTCCATGCAGCAGAAAGTCCTACCTCCCAGCAGCTCCACCAATCCTTTTTTGTGACTCACCAGAGCTGACTGATGGTTCACTCACCTATTCTCATCCAGTTGGCCGAATTTTAACAGGGAAACAGATGACACAGTGGAACCCTCAAGACTCACACAGACATTATACTAATAAACTTTCAGGTGCTTATAGTCTCATCACAGAAGTTAAAGTAATAAACTTGCAGGTGCTTATAGTCATCACAGAAGTTAAAGTAATAAACTTTCAGGTGCTTATAGTCATCACAGAAGTTAAAGTAATAAACTTGCAGGTGCTTATTTATAGTCATCACAGAAGTTAAAGTAATAAACTTGCAGGTGCTTATAGTCATCACAGAAGTTAAAGTAATAAACTTTCAGGTGCTTATAGTCATCACAGAAGTTAAAGTAATAAACTTGCAGGTGCTTATTGTCATCACAGAAGTTAAAGTAATAAAATTGCAGGTGCTTATTGTCATCAAAGAAGTTGAAGTAATAAACTTTCAGGTGCTGATAGTCATCACAGAAGTTGAAGTAATAAACTTGCAGGTGCTTATAGTCATCACAGAAGTTAAAGTAATAAACTTGCAGGTGCTTATAGTCATCACAGAAGTTAAAGTAATAAACTTGCAGGTGCTTATATTCATCACAGAAGTTAAAGTAATAAACTTGCAGGTGCTTATAGTCATCACAGAAGTTAAAGTAATAAACTTGCAGGTGCTTATATTCATCACAGAAGTTAAAGTAATAAACTTGCAGGTGCTTATATTCATCACAGAAGTTAAAGTAATAAACTTGCAGGTGCTTATAGTCATCACAGAAGTTAAAGTAATAAACTTGCAGGTGCTTATATTCATCACAGAAGTTAAAGTAATAAACTTGCAGGTGTTTGTTGTCATCACAGAAGTTAAAGTAATAAACTTGCAGGTGCTTATAGTCATCATTTAAATTAAAGTGATAAACTTGCGGTGCTTATTGTCATCATTTAAATTAAAGTGATAAACTTGCGGTGCTTATTGTAATCATGTAAATTAAAGTAATAAACTTGTAAATCATGTGCACAGCCTGAATTTTCCCACTTTGCATCAACTGAAATTAACCAGCCTTTATGTAAAACACTCTGTCCGGTGATAAGCAAAGTCTAACCATCTTTTCTGCTTTCTATCCATCTTTCTATTTTCTGCCCAATCAAATCAATTACCAGTTTTATGAACTCATCCAGTACAACTAAAACACAAACTTTAGTTGCGTGAACTAGAAACATAAAGTAAATTAGCATGCTTTAAATAAATTATGGTGGCCAATATATGTGGCCAAAACATGTTCACTTTTCTGAAAGAATAAATGCATGAAGTGATAAAGGTATGCTTCCTTGCGTAGCACATCAAAGAAATTGCAGTAGTTGGGTGTAATCACCGGTTGCCTTATGATTTGTGACTCTCAGAGTGAGCAGAGTTTGCCTCTTGTGGGCATTTGATGAGATGACGGATAGTGGTGAGATGTTGAATTGTGGTGACATTGGTACTATAAAGGGGCCATGTGGAGTGTTCTAGGGATCAGTTAGATGCTGTCTCCACAGTGAAGGTGGCTGTCATTGAACTCTAACACTGACTCTTGTCTTGGTTGTGCATTTTGTCAAACTGATGTTTATCCATCTTTTAGTGTTGTCTTCCCACTTGTATCTACCTTTTGCTTTGCCAATCACATTTCTCTCTGGTGTAAAAAGAGTGTTATGTCTTCATGAAGATGAAACATTGTAGTTGTCTAATTTCTTTTTCTTTTAGCAACTCTTGTTTTATTCCCAGTCTCTCCGAAACATCATATATGTTTTTGGTTACAGCAAATACATACTGTTCTTCTGTATATCCACATCTCTAGAGACCCACTTCAGTTTTATAGTTTGATTGTTTATTGTCTAGGCCAGTGATTCCCAAACTGTGCGCACTGGAGAGCCATGACCTCTTGACAGGGGCGCCACGAAATATTCAAAGATACATAAGTTTTATTTTTTTGGTTATCTTTTACGTATGAATAGTCATACTTTTACTTAAGTTAGGACGCCGTGGGAAAATTGTAATTGAAATAAGGCGCAGCGACAAAAACAAGTTTTGGAAACACTGATCTAGGCTTCTGCACCATGCAACAGGGTTGAATATATGTAACATTTGACAGTTCTCATTTTTAATGTGTTGTTGATCTCTCTAAAAGTTAAAAATTCTCTTTTGAATTTCTGCTTCACATCTGCCATGATCTGTTGTTGCATGCCCTGGATATGAGAAATGTATTCTAATATCTCTCCATTTGCTGTGTTGTTCAGTGGTTTCCTAACTTCTAGGGATGAAACCTTGTAGGTAATGTAGAAGCAGCCGAAGTCAATATGGAAGCCAATAAGTAAAATCCTCACTGATAACACTAGTTTGGGTAACTGGATGCAGAATAAGTTGACACAATGTTGGTGAAAGTTACAGTTTTTTGGGGGGGTTTTGAAGTCACCAATGCTCTTCAACACAATTGTAATAATTGATATTAATGGGTGATAATAATTTATTGTTATTAATGTTCATATTTATGAATTATAAATCATTGCTGAAGATAAAACATGAGGTGGTTATAAAGCATGAACATATAGCGCAACACTGGGATTGGAATTTTTTTTTTTTTAACTTGAATATTTTATCAGCTGGTGTCTCCTCATCTTTTTCTTTATCATCTTTCTTTTCCTTCTTCATCCTCTTTCTCCTTCTCCTCCTTCTTTATTTTTTTGGCACCTCCTCCTCCTCTTTCCTGCATCATCATCATCACCATCGTCATCCTGAACCTCTACAACTGCTTCAGTTACAGCCTAATTGCACCTCCTGGGTTAATGCAGATCTTTTTCTAGTCTGGACAAGTAGATATCCAGTACAGTCACTTCTCTGTTGTCATGTCACACACACAATGTAACTGGTTAATCAGTTGATACCAAATTCACATTGAGAGAAAAACTCATTAAGGTGAGAAAGTAGTAGCAGAAAAATAATGGTACAGAGAAGAACAGAGATAAATCTGTTGCACAGTTTCATTGTTTATGTTTGTTTGTTTATTGTCAGTTAATGAAGACTTTGTATTATTTATGTATTCCTACTAAATACGTGCTCTATAATTGCTGATAATTGCAAATGTGTCTTTCATGAGGTTTTTAAAAAATTAAATTCATTTAAATAAAGGGGGGGGGGGGGGGGGGGGGGGTTTAATTCTACCACATTAACAAATCTGCATGTCACTTGTAATATCAACATCAGTGTTCACTGTGAGCTTGATATTTTCTCATGTCTTGGATTTTATGTAAACTGTAAATTGCCTGAAAAAACCCAAATCTGTTAATAATATCAACAGAATGTCAAAACCGAAGAAGTTATGTGTATGTAAATATATATATAAGCTCAGTGAAGGAACAGGAGAGTCAGTACAAACGTTTATCAGCACAATGAAACAGTTTGCATAAAAACAATGATGGATGAGATGCGCAAGTCATAGTCCTTTACTTTGTCATGTCTGGCCCATAGCCAACATACAGTCTGCAAGTATAAAACAAGAAAGAAACAATTATACAAATATGAAGGCTTTTAAGATGTATAAGTTTTGCACCACAACACCTGTCAAGTGCTGACTGATATAATGAAAAGATATGGATTGCTCACCTTGTTGCTGCTGAGCCACTGGGTGTGGAATGTTTCCTTCACCAGACATAAATTATCTTAAAATGCAAGTAATGAGCACAACTGGAAGTCAGAGGAACATTTGAAAAGTACACCCAGGCAATAGCTACATCATTTCAGCCTGCATAGGCATTGAGGTTTCAACTAAGCTTAAGAGAGGCAAGAGGCACTTTAGTGGCATGATGAGTCAGGAGGCACTTTAGTGGCATGATGAGTCAGGAGGCACTTTAGTGGCATGATGAGTCAGGAGGCACTTTAGTGGCATGATGAGTCAGGAGGCACTTTAGTGGCATGATGAGTCAGGAGGCACTTTAGTGGCATGATGAGTCAGGAGGCACTTTAGTGGCATGATGAGTCAGGAGGCACTTTAGTGGCATGATGAGTCAGGAGGCACTTTAGTGGCATGATGAGTCAGGAGGCACTTTAGTGGCATGATGAGTCAGGAGGCACTTTAGTGGCATGATGAGTCAGGAGGCACTTTAGTGGCATGATGAGTCAGGAGGCACTTTAGTGGCATGATGAGAGTCAGGAGGCACTTTAGTGGCATGATGAGTCAGGAGGCACTTTAAGTGGCATGATGAGTCAGGAGGCACTTTAGTGGCATGATGAGTCAGGTGGCACTTTAGTGGCATGATGAGTCAGGAGGCACTTTAGTGGCATGATGAAACAGGAGGCAGGCACTTTAATGGCATGATAAGACAGAAGGCACTTTAGTGGCATGATGAGTCAGTAGGCACTTTAGTGGCATGATGAGTCAGGAGGCACTTTAGTGGCATGATGAGTCAGTAGGCACTTTAGTGGCATGATGAGTCAGTAGGCACTTTAGTGGCATGATGAGTCAGGAGGCACTTTAGTGGCATGATGAGTCAGGAGGCACTTTAGTGGCATGATGAGTCAGGAGGCACTTTAGTGGCATGATGAGTCAGGAGGCACTTTAGTGGCATGATGAGTCAGGAGGCACTTTAGTGGCATGATGAGTCAGGAGGCACTTTAGTGGCATGATGAGTCAGGTGGCACTTTAGTGGCATGATGAGTCAGGAGGCACTTTAGTGGCATGATGAAACAGGAGGCAGGCACTTTAATGGCATGATAAGACAGAAGGCACTTTAGTGGCATGATGAGTCAGTAGGCACTTTAGTGGCATGATGAGTCAGGAGGCACTTTAGTGGCATGATGAGTCAGGAGGCACTTTAGTGGCATGATGAGTCAGGAGGCAGGCACTTTAGTGGCATAATGAGTCAGGAGACACTTTAGTGGCATAATTGTCAGGAGGCACTTTAGTGGCATGATGAGTCAGGTGGCACTTTAGTGGCATAATGAGTCAGGAGGCACTTTAGTGGCATAATTGTCAGGAGGCACTTTAGTGGCATGATGAGTCAGGTGGCACTTTAGTGGCATGATGAGTCAGGAGGCACTTTAGTGGCATGATGAAACAGGAGGCAGGCACTTTAATGGCATGATAAGACAGAAGGCACTTTAGTGGCATGATGAGACAGTAGGCACTTTAGTGGCATGATGAGTCAGGAGGCACTTTAGTGGCATGATGAGTCAGGAGGCACTTTAGTGGCATGATGAGTCAGGAGGCACTTTAGTGGCATGAGGAGACAGAAGGCACTTTAGTGGCATGATGAGACAGAAGGCACTTTAGTGGCATGATGAGACAGAAGGCACTTTAGTGGCATGATGAGACAGGAGGCACTTTAGTGGCATGATGAGACAGGAGGCAGGCACTTTAGTGGCATGATGAGACAGGAGGCCGGCACTTTATTGGCATGATGAGACAGGAGGTACTTTAGTGGCATGATGAGACAGGAGGTACTTTAGTGTGATGATGAGTCAGGAGGCACTTTAGTGGCATGATGAGTCAGGAGGCACTTTAGTGGCATGATGAGTCAGGAAGCAATATAGTGGCATGATGAGTCAGGAGGCACTTTAGTGGCATGATGAGACAGGAAGCAGGCACTTTAGTGGCATGAGACAGAAGGTACTTTAGTGGCTAGATGAGATAGAAAGCACTTTAGTGGCATGATGAGTCAGAAGGCTTTTTAGTGGCATAATGAGTCAGGAGGCACTTTAGTGGCATGATGAGTCAGGAGGCACTTTAGTGGCATGATGAGACAGGAGGCAGGCACTTTAGTGGCATGAATAGACAGAAGTCACTTTAGTGGTATGATGAGACAGAAGGCACTTTAG